ACATTTATTTATTTTTGGGACAGAGAGAGACAGAGCATGAACAGGGGAGGGGCAGAGAGAGAGGGAGACACAGAATCGGAAACAGGCTCCAGGCTCTGAGCCATCAGCCCAGAGCCTGACGCGGGGCTCGAACTCCCGGACCGCGAGATCGTGACCTGGCTGAAGTCGGACGCTTAACCGACTGCGCCACCCAGGCGCCCCTGTAAAGGTCTTTTTATGTGGAGTAGCATTCTCTCCTGTTTTGGCTTTCTGCAATCTGTTTCCTTACACGGTACCTTTGCCTTTTCGGGAAAGACCTTTTTAATCACGTGCTTTGACTTGCTTTTTCCCCTCTGGTGGGGGGTCTAGCACGGCGATCCCCGGTCTGGCGTCCAGAGCATTGTCCTCACCCCCTGGAGATCGGTCTCAGTGGTGACGGGGAATTCTACCGCGTGCTCGCTTTAGGAGCCCCAGGATTGCTTGGAAAAGTCATGTGTTTTCGTGCTTGTGTTTCTGGGGTGCTGGCTATTCTTGCTTCATTTTCTTTTTCTTTTTTCTTTTGTTTAAGTTTATTTATTTATCTTGAAAGAGAGACGGCACGAATGGGGAAGGGACAGAGAGAGGGAGAGACAAAGAATCCCACGTGGGCTCTGCGCTGGCAGATCTCACGACGTGGGGCTCCAACCCGTGAACCGTTGAGATCGTGACCTGAGCCGAAACCAAGAGTCGGACACTTAACGACCGAGCCCCCCAGGCGCCCCTCTTGCTTCATTTTCATTCAGTGAGCGAGTAACCTTGGGTAGTGATGTGAGCCCCGGAGCTCCCGTCCTCACTCGCCTCCGCCTCACGTGGGCACGTTGGTTCACGAGATGTCCCCGTGGACCGTTGTTCTGAGAGCTCGGATACCCTGCTAGGCCCCACAGTACTCCGAAGTGTGCTCACGTCGGCCTGAGAAGCTTCGCGTTGCGAGGTGTCTGGTCGGCACACTCCCTCCTTTCCTGCGCCCACTGGCGTGAGCTTGCCAGGGCTCCTGGGCGTGCGGCCCAAGGGCACTTCCCTGCTTTTGCTTGCCGTTACTATTGTGCTTACGTCTTTCATTTTTAACACTTTTTTTTTTTTTAACGTTGTTTTATTTTTGAGACCGAGAGAGAGCATGAATGGGGGGAGGGTCAGAGAGAGAGGGAGACACAGAATCGGAAGCAGGCTCCAGGCTCCAAGCTGTCAGCACAGAGCCCGATGCGGGGCTCGAACTCGTGAACCACAAGATCGTGACCTGAGCCGAAGTCGGACGCTTAACCGACTGAGCCACCCAGGCGCCCCTGTGCTTAGGTCTTTTAAAGATGAGCGTGTAAACGTTACATACCACATGTGTGTTAGTGCAGTGTCAGGCGTGCGTGCCAGATAGCCAGGGAAGGGATTAACAAGGACAGGCGTTTATACATACAAATATGTTAATATTTAATAAAAAGGAAGCCCTCTGTCAGTTTGTGTTAGATCTGACGTAAGCTTCTGACATAATTTTGTCCATTTTAACGAGATGCGAGGTCATCTAGATACATTTTGCAACCTAGGAGTCCGTGGAAGCTTATTTGCCGGATGCAGGAGGTTTGAGGAATTTCCCCCTCAGATGCAGGGGAAGGTGGTGGCTGAGTGCGGGCGCCGGCCGCGACTGCCAGGTGCACTGCTCTGGTGGACCTCGTGGACGCGGAGCCGGCCCTGACCTCTGCCTTCTTCCCGCAGGCTGTGGTGGTGCCCCAAGGTGGGGGTCAGCTGTGGATCTTCGGAGGGGAGTTTGCCTCTCCCGACGGAGAGCAGTTCTACCACTACAAGGATCTCTGGGTCCTGCATTTGGCCACCAAGACTTGGGAGCAAGTAAGGTAAGGTGCCGGGTGACGGGCCCGACCTCCGGCCTTGGCCGCTGTCCTGTGCCGGCGTTCCGCGTGCGCAGTGACGCGGTCAGATCCCTGGGCTCCGCAGAGCACGATGTCAGAGCCCCGGGAGACCAGCCCTGCGGTCACCGAAGCGAAGGCAGAGCTTGTCTTTCCTCTCGCTCCTTCTCAACAGCTGCCCGGCGCCGGGCTCTGTTGAGGGTGTTGCGGGGGCCAGCGCCGCGTCCCTGCTTGCCGTCCCGTCCGCCCTCGGCTGCGCCTGCATGTGTCATTTGGGGCGCAGCTCTCGTCCTCGGCTGTCGGAGGCAGCTCTGGGTTTCAGCTTGCTGCTGTTTCCCCCAAGGGAGTGCTCCGTCTGGGTCAAGTTGACATAGCAGAGCTGGAAAGAGGAGAGGAAAGCAGGCAGAGCCTTCCTGATGTTCTCAATAAACCAGGCTCTGCCGTCGTCGGTGCTTGATTTCTACCCCCGTCGGTGACGATGACGACGTGAGAGTCACGTCGTACTGCACGTTCTCCGCTGGTCAGAGCTGGAGCTGCACGTCACCAGAATGACAGCGGAACGACGTGGAAAGTAGTGTTAGTTGGCTTTATCCTTCGGGGGTGCACGTGCCCAGTTGCCGGGGTCGCGCACAGCCCAGGTGCGGGGTTCTGTCTCTGCTGTCAGAGCAGCAGACCGGAGCTTCCTCAGCGGCCGGGGCAGGCGCCGGATTGCAGGGTTCGGGCGTGGGGCCGCAACCCTTCTCGGGTCCTAGGCCCAAGGGAGGGTCTGTCACTCTGTCACTCATGTGATGATGAGCCTCCTAGGAGACTGCCGGGGCCGGGTTGTCGGGGCCGGCTCCCACCGGCTCCGACCGGCGTGGGTCTGGGCGCTGACCCCGCGGAGGCCGCCGTGCCGGTTCCAGTGTAGACCGCAAGCCCCGCTAACCCTGCTGCAGGAGACGTGATCACTGGAGCGCCTGTGCGCACTTCACCCGCCACCAACTTCGTTTCCCTTTCTCTGACTTGCTTTGGGAAAGGGTCCTGGTCTTGGTGGGCACAGCGGTCCAGTGGTTTTCATATGAAAAATGGGTTTTGTTACGTATTTGTTGAAACTTCGTCTTTTAGCCTCCATTTCAAAGTATTTAGGCCCAGAGCACGCGCTCTTTGTCGTCTCTCTCGCTTTGCTTGTGTACTTTTTTTTTTTTTTAATTTTTTTTTTTTTTCAACATTTATTTATTTTTGGGACAGAGAGAGACAGAGCATGAATGGGGGAGGGGCAGAGAGAGAGGGAGACACAGAATCTGAAACAGGCTCCAGGCTCTGAGCCATCAGCCCAGAGCCCGACGCGGGGCTCGAACTCACGGACCGCGAGATCGTGACCTGGCTGAAGTCGGACGCTTAACCGTCCGAGCCACCCAGGCGCCCCGCTTGTGTACTTTTAAGAACCCACTCGTTATTTGTTGCCTGTCCGTGTCTGGTGAATTGATTCAAGACATCTTCTTAGCATTTTTGTCCGTCTGAGTAGCTTTTTGTCCATAATAATGGCCGGCCGAGGGACAGCGACGGGCTCCGCGAGCACCCACGGCTCTCTGGCCGCGGCTCAGCGGGGCCCGTGCTGCCGGCGGTGCCGCCCCGAGCCGCTCGCTGGTGCGCACACCTCCCCGTGGCCCTCAGACTCTCCCGGTTGTGTGGCGCGTGCCACGGGTGTCTGTCACACGGAAGCAGGGGGGCACTGTGGACGTAGGGCCGCTAGGGGATGCACCCTCGGAGGGGCTTGCCGTGGCCGCCGTTGCCTTGATGCGGCCCGGGGCCCGCTGTCACCCCAGCACGCATGCACGGCATTCACGGCCTCTGTCCCGTGTTGGAAGTGGTCCCTGAGAAAGCGGTCCCTCGGTGCTTGAACGCTTGCTGAAGTACGCGGTGTGTCGTAGAGCTGTTCAGAACTAGCGGGAAACCGCGGAGGTGAGGCTTCCGGGCTTTAGTCTGGATGGAGTGATGGGGCGGGAAAAGAGCGTGGGCTTTACTTTCCTTTGCGTCTAAGTTGTCCCTTTTCCGGCCTTCCTTCTGGGTGAGGACCTCAGCTCCGGTGGGTGAGGGACAGAGCGCCGCTGCGAGTGGTCCTTGGGCCACGTGTAAGCATCCTCTGACTAGCAGGTGCAGCCCGTGGGCACAGACCTGGGAGTCACGAGGTGGAGGGTTGTCGCCAGCTCTGCCCCTGATTCTGTTTGCGAGGAGACTTAAATGACCAGCGGGCTTCTGGGCTCTGTTGCTTCACGCGTTGATCGTTAGGAGGTGTCTTCTGTCTTGAGCCTGCTGGTGGAGCAGAAAGTCCCAAGTGGTGTCACAAGACAGTACCTGGTGACAGATGTCCATTTCCTCATCTTTGTTGTGTCCTACTCTTTTTTCTGATTAGATGGCAGAGCGCCAGAGACAGGTACTTGTTTTAATTTTCTCTTTTTCAGATTTTTATTCAAGTTTTAGTTAACACATAGTGTAGTATTGGTTCCAGGAGTAGAATTCATCACTCACATACACCACCCAGTGCTCACTGCAACACATGCCCTCCACCCCCACCCACCCCCTGCATCAGCCCTCAGCTTGTTCTTTATCGTTCAGAGTCTCTCGTGGTTTGCTTCCCTTGATACTCGTGGTCCCGTATGTTCATGTGTTTTGTTAAATTCCACATAGGAGTGAAACACGTATGGTATCTTTCTCTCGCTGACATGACTTCGCTTAGCATAACATCCTCCGGCTCCATCCATGTTGCTGCAAATGGCGACATTTCCTTCCTTTTGGTCTGTGAATAATGTTCCGTTGTCTATACATCTTCTTTATCCGTTTGTCAGTCAGTGGGCATTTGGGCTCTTTCCGTATCTTGGCTATTGTAGATAATGCTGCTATAAACATCAAGGTGCATGTGCCCCCTTGAATTTGCATTTTTGTATCCTTTGGGTAAATACCTCGTAGGGCAGTTGCTGGCTTGTAGGGTAGTTCTAGTTTTAAATTTTTGAGAAATTTCCATACCGTTGCCCAGAGTGGCCGCACCAGTTTGCATTCCCACCAGCGAGGCAAGAGGGTTCCCCTTTCTCCACATCTGCACCAACATCTGTTGTTTCCTGAGTGGTTGGTTTTCACGATTCTGACAGGTGTGAGGTGGTATCTCAGTGTGTTTTGATTTGTATTTCCCTCATGATGAGTGATGCTGAGCATCTTTTCATGTGTCTGTGAGCCACCTGGATGTCTTCTTTGGAGAAGTGTCTGTTCAGGTCTTCTGCCCATTTCCTCGTGGATTATGCTTTTGGGGTGTTGAGTTTGGTAAGTTCTTTATCGATTTTTGACACTAACTCTTTATCAGGTATCAAACATCCTCTCCCATTCCGACGGTTGCCCCTTAGTTTTATTGGTTGTTTCCTTCATCGTGCAGGAGCTCTTTATCTTGATGAGGTCCCAGTACGTTTTTGCTCATGTTTGCCCTGCCTCTGGCGTGTCGTCTCCCACCCTTAATCATCTCAGGCGCTGAGCCCCAGCCTTCCCGAAACTCTTGGTGCCTCGGCCCTCGGGGTGCGGCCCCGCCACCCACCCCGCCTGCCCCCGGGGTTGTCCCGAGACCAGTGAGGAAAGTGAGCAGGCGCGGCCCTTTCTCACGCCGGCGCAGCTTTCCACGGCCCGGTGCGCCTGCAGATGGGTGTCCCACTGCACCGGGAGCCGCGAGACATGACACGTGTGACCCCGGGAAGTTTTTTGTGTGGGAGGCGGTGCCCCGAGGGCAGCCCAGGCTTCCTGTAAAGTGGCGAGCGGCATGATGGGAAACCGCGCCCAGGACGGGAGAAGGCGAGCCGCAGCTGGTGTCGCCTGCACCGTCACTCTGCTGTCACGGGACACGTGCGCACGCTTCGGCCCCGAGTGCACTGATGGGAGCGTGCCCCGGAGAAACGCTCCCTCTCGTTTTAACACGGAAACCTCCATGAAAAGCCCAGGAAGCAGAACAGCACGTGCCTGAGAGGAAAGCCCGGGGTGTGTGCGTGTGCCCATGCCCGCCAAGGGCTCCGGAGAACCTGTGCGCACGCGGCCGGAGGTCCGGTGGGTCCGGGTGCTGTGCTGGCTCGCCGCCCCTCGCACCTGTTCAGCACCCCTCCGTTGCGCTCCTGCGGCCCGGGTCTTCTCCCCTCACGCATTTCTTGTGCGTTTTCCTCACGTGAGTTCCAGAATCAGTGGAGTCAGAGGGCACTTGTGCCTCTGAGCCCCTCCCCTGGCGTCTGTCGCCCCACAGAGACTCCACCCGGCCCTCCGTCCCGTCCCCGGCCACTTGCTGGCGGTCCTCCCCCTCGGGGGCGGCAGTTCCCGCTGCCGCGGGGCGGTTTCCTGTCCTTACTGGCACTCGGGGAGGTTCCTCGGAGAACGGTTGAGGCGGTCCGGTCCCAGCAAGCGTCGGTGGCGTCGTGGCTGGGAGCCCGGGCAGCCTGGGGACGCGGCCCAGAGCTGATGCCTCTGTTCTTGATTCTTGGGCTTTCCTGCACCCGCGAGCACCCCGGGAGCTTCACAAACACGCCTCCCTGCCCTCACCCCAGACATCGAGTCTGGTTCAGAGCAGGTTTAAAACGGGCTCAGGAATCTGCATTGTATTTAACCTCTACCCACCCCACTCAGTGACCCTGACGGCAGCAGCGGGAGCCCCGCTTACTTGTCCACTGGTCTCGGTCTCGTGCCAGTTTTGAGCCTTGTTCACTGATGTGAGCACGCCTGCTGCCCTTTCGTGAGCCAGAGAGCTCCTTTAGATTCCTTAGATCCTTAACAAGTAAGGTCGTGTAGATAGTGCTTTTGTAATTGCACTGATTGTGGCAAAATGAAAGCACCACCCTGTTTCCTGGTGGGGCTGTGCTGGCCCGAGGGGCTGGGCCCAGTAGGACTGTGCCAGAGGGCACATGCACCGCTGGCTCAAGCCTGCCGTCCGTCCGTGGGCTTAGGCCGCGGCCGCTGCTCCTTGCTCCTCCTCGTGACGGGGTGTGGTC